TATATATATGTATATGTAAATTAAATCTCCCTCTGAAGCGGGCGACGGGATTTTGATTCCAGCGGCCGACAGATTCCAACGGGCAACTCCTCAACTTTTTCGTGCCGACCACACAACCACTTTTGAAGATTCTCCAACTTGAGATGGCAGAAGGAATGATGTTGATGAAGTGGTGAAGGTTCCATTACTTTCCTTATTTTTATCCTTCTCACCTAGAGTGGTGCTGAGTCGGATGATTCACCAACCTCTTCCACACAAGATAGCTTCTTAGTATGATCAATTCAACTGGCCTCTTTTGACCAATTATCTTTTTTCCTTTCCTTTTTTTTAACGGATGCAATTCTTTACCCACCTTTTTCTTAAGAAGTGGGCGGGAACTGTCAAATTACATTTTTCTTTCATCCCCTGTAGGCTTGGTTCTAAAAATGGGAAGTCCAAAAATTATCATGAAGGCTTCCACATTTAATGGTTTTTTAGCACCCGGCCTATTCGTTTTCCTGGAGGATTGACTTACAGGAAGAGGATGCAGAAGATGGGAATAGGATAAAACACACTTAGAACCCACTCTATTTATAGAAAAAATAGAAGGGTCATAGACATTAAGAGAATATAAATTATTATGATGTTTATCACTCATTGTATGAACGATTATGATATTTATTTCTCTTATTTGTTCGACTGTTATCACTCTCAAAAGAAGTAATAGAATTAAAAAACTAAGTATATACATCTGAAATATGCCTACATGAATCTTAAGGAGAAATTATTGGAGATATAAAGACTATAGATTGTTCATGCAAACAATCAGACAGCCTCATAAATGACAGAATGAAATAAACGAACAATGTGAGAAGCATCACACAACTATATCATCATTGACTATCTACTAACTAGTATCAGAAAAAATGGTAGTCACTTAGGATAAGGCATTTTAGCAAAGATATATAACCTGAAGGTGGGTTGCTTATCAGATTACAGTGATTTACTCCCTGCCCAATGAAATAACCCTATCCAAAAATTGTGTGTCTTCATATTTAAAATCCACAGAATGAGGTGACTGAATAGCATTAAATTTGATTGAATGATGAAAAGTTAGCCAAATGAATGACGGCTGACCGAATTTAATTCAAGCATCCAAACTAAGCGGTTACGAATGTGAAGAAGAATTCAAGGGAGTTACATTTATAGAAGTGTTGGCATCTATTATGAGGTCCGAATAAATATTATTCTATGATAAATGTGTAATATTAGCCCTAAAACCAAAAACTATTTGCATTAAGTTTAGCGTTGGCAAGTCTTATACCAATATAATTAACTCTCTTTTCCCCTCTTCTTTTTTTAAATTTTGTAATTGGGAAAATTTTGCATAGTATATTTAAAGCTAATAATGAGGGCTAACATTTAATTTTTGGATGACTTTATCAATGGTGTTTCTCATTTTAAAGCTATCATTCTTAGAAGTATTTTGTTTCTTTTTGAAGATGCATTGTGCTTTAAACATAATTTCTTAAAGTCTTCTTTAATCTACTTGGAAGGATAAAGGACTATAGAGTATGTTTAATATTATAGATTATGCTAATTATTTTTTCCCTATTATGAGTAGACACAATCGTATCATCTCATAGTATCATCTCATCTTAGAAATTATTTTATGAATAAAACAGAATTGATTACTATTTATTTCCTTTTGTCTTACTCTCTCTCTTTTTATTTACACTATAGCTTGGGTATGATTCATAATATATACATCGTCATCATCATTATCACTATCGTTATTGTTAATAGCATCCTTATATCCATTTAGAACAATATATTGTCACAACTTTGTAAACATAGATCACGTGACTTCTCCGACCTCCTAGAATGTATTTGGTTGACCTTAACACTGTTAATAGCTCTCTATTAATTGTTTTCATGTCAATTTTTATCATCTTCTATACTTCAAATAGCCTCTAAAGTATTTGATAAGCCTCTAATAGGTTATAGCTCTCATCCATATATTTAGGTCAAATTCATCCTTGGTTGCACCTCCATATGATATTTGAAGATTATAGTCATCTTATATTTTTCTGCAAAAAATCAATTATGTGAAATACATTAATATTTAATTTCTTCTAGCTTAGAATTTCTTATTGGTCCTCTGAAAAATCTCTAATTTTATTGGTGCGTGCTTATTTAGTTATCATAAGAAGGAGAAAATTTAAGTTCGGATAATCAGACATGCAAACTAAAGAACCTTGGCATAGCATAATATAAGTTGAAGAAATGAGAACAGAAGAAGCAGAGGAGCATAGAAGACTTCACAAAGAAATAAATGCAATATTTTTTTGTTGTATCTCTACTACATAGACAACAACTTGTATTTATAAGATGTTTTAGGCAAATGTAGTTTTTTCATTATACATCGGATACACTAGAGCCATAAATACACATAGAGAGCCCTAACCACTATTATATTGAACTGAGACACAATTCCTTAAATACACATAAAGAGCCCTAACCACTAATACATTGGACTGAGACACAATTACGGAAGAGAGCAAGTGTGTATAAGCCGGAGAAGGCGACTTCAAATAAAACAAGGTTTGATCTCTTTTACAAACGACAGTGTGGGTCGTGGGTCACATACACCATGCACACAACGGCATGGAGCAATTCACGCCATCGTCCGCGGGTCCAGATTTCAAACATAATATTTTCTCCATAAAAACTAGATGTTCATTTTCTTATTTTTATTTTCATAATAATTCACAACTTAAATATTCTTAAAATATCTCGTGGTGCTACCCCTCATTGCAATTTCTTGTGAATTCTTTTTGGTAGAGATGAATCATGGCATCACATTTGACTTTATTCTTTGATTTCTCCATACTGCTAATGAAATTATCTAATAAATAATCATTCATATGTAAAAATAATGATAATTTTTGTTTCCCTCTTCAAAATTTCAAATATATTTTATTTTAAATTAACATATAAATAGAAATAAAAAAATAAAATAATAAATAAAAGTGAGCCCAATCAACCCCTTAATAAATATTGAAACTTAACATAGTTACAAGATTTAGATAACATTGTTAAGGGTAATATTTGAATGAGATTTCATGAAAAGTGCATTTTTGCATATAGAGCATATTATTTCTTTATTGCATAAAGATAAATTTATCACATAATATGGCAATAAGAGTTCTTAACAATCATGTAAGCTGATATGCTTGACTATGTAAAAATTATGAACATGTGTAGCATATCAAGTTTGTTATTGTAATCAAAAGGATCAATTATTCTTAATTGTTTTACATAAATAAATTCTCTTATAGAAGTATATCAGAAATTAGGGTCTTGAGATTTAAACAACTGTTTGAATCAAATATTTGTTTGGAGGTTTGAACAATTGATAAGTTTTCTCACTAAATCCATGATCTCATCTCCTAGCTTGAGTTAGCTAGGAGGTACTATATATTTGAATTTGTGTAAATGTAGAAAAAAAAAGTATATATATATATATATATATATAT